GAATTACGTAATTATTTGGAGTTACGGAAGGGAAGTTACGAATTACGTAAAGTCGTAATTATTGCATTGAAACGAGCTTTCTTCAAAGCAGTCTATTTCGTCGATTGCGAAAAATGAAAGCTCAACAAGTAAAAGAAGTTAGAGTTCCGGTATTCGCAGCCGTTTTTCTCACTTTTCTCTCTTGTTACGTAGGTGAAGGAAGGCATGACGCGTTGCCATTTACTAACCTATTATCAACTTATCTGGCATGGCCAATGTATATTATTAACGTAGTTAAGGGGGAAGAACTGAGTAGGTAAGTTTGACGCCAACACACCTGGTTTTAACTTCTTCCGTAACTTAACCGTACATAAGGGATAGAATTGCGTTGAGACCGATTGACGCCAACACACCTGGTTTCAACTTCTCTCGCATCTTATCTAGCATGGCCATGGCCAATGTACATAATAACCGTAGATAGGGGGAAGAATTGTGTTAAGACCGATGGACGCTAACACGCCCGGTATCAACTTCTTCGGGTGAAATGACTGATGAACGCAGGAGATCAATCTATCAAACATGGTCTATCAAACATTTGTATCCATTTTACTTTTATTTATTATTTACTTGTTCCAGTTTTCCGTTACTTATGGTATATATGTTCCGTTTCTATTTTATAGTCACGCGTTTAAATAGTGGGAATTCCCCACCAAGTGTGGATTAGCAATGCTTAACCATTCTTTATTGTTAATATCAACACTTGATATATGAACATGGAATATCATACTGTTTTTGGCTGTTTCATTTCAGACTTGGGGTATAAACAGGAAAATATCCATAACCTTTCAACACGACGATCTTGTGAAATTTAACGAAGAGCTTTCGCGACGAATTGGAACCAAATAGACGAAAAGAGCGATTGATTACTCGCGCCAATACCTCGCCGTGATAATTAATGTCGCGCTTATCAAATAGCAATATGACGACAAAAGAGAGATTGCGTAATGAACCAACGCAACTTCGTCTTCTCGGCATCGGTAAAGCGATTGAGACGGCAGAGAAACAACAAAACGACGGATTCCTTGCGGACCGCTAAAAATTTAATTGCTATCAAATATGAGCCAGAGTGTTTATTCTGTGCGAGATCCATTTTCTATTACAAAATCTTGATGTTCTGTTAGCGGTTTTATCGTTATATCGTTTTTTACAATTCCTCTCAATATTTCGGCCATATATGATTAACTGTCTTACCAAATGCGGCAACTTATTTTGATTTATCGTCGACTTGAATACCACCGGCACTCGACCGAATTTGTGTCAATCTTGGCCGATAGGATCGCCGACTTGAGTTAGCAAATAAATGTCGTGAGTGTAAAATAAATGTCACAAAATGCATTGTTTTGCGATATAACTTTGTATTTTCGGAGAAGGCATATCATATAAGTTCGGTATTTAAATGATACGCAAATAAATAATATTCGATCTAAATTTATTGCAAATAATGTTATAAACATTTAGTCCGCGAAATGATTAAATGTAAAATGAAGCATGGTAATCGGAATATCGTCAATAAGTCGACATCAATATTATTATTATAAAATGCTAACAAGGCAGTATTGTCGGATAATGCAGAAGACGCTGCAAAAACAAGTCTTCGTCGCGAGGAAATCGCAAGTATAATCAAACGAGAGAATACGCTCGTCGTTGGTTAATGAATTAGAAACCCGTAATTTTTATTCAGTACTAAGGTGGTTTTAAAAAACTATCGTTTTCATAAATATCCGTATACCAGTGTCGGTAATGATAAAATAAAATTGATCGCATAAAAATGGGACGGTTAATTTGCGAAGGTGATAAAGGAAAACCAAAGTTAACACAAAAGATGAAAATCAGAATAAAATTAATTTGAATTCACTCCTTGATATTTGTATTTAACATCTGCCGCCGGCGTGTAGTACTGCCAAGAATATGAAAACCCAACTTCAATGTCCCATTCGGAAAAGAAGTGGATTCAATTGGTTGTTATGATAGGTTTAAATGCGTGGAAAAATATCGCAATTACGGGGTCATTACGTAATTGATTTTGCCGTAATTACGGAATTGATTTTTGTCAATTACGTGCAAGCCTATCTCGCGTGACACAAAGGCATTTGTGTAAGCATTTATATTGACTTTAATGTTTGACTGAGCAAAAATTACAAAATCTACAATACTGTATATTATAAATCACATAGCCTACAGAACATTTATGCCGCAAAATATAAATTTTTAACATACACAACAAAAACAACTTCGGGAATGGTTTGGTTCGACCTTTAGCTTCTCACCTTCTTCAAACAATTTTCGCTTATATACAATCCTGGTTAGTTCATACTCAGAGGGTATGACATGACATGTTTTGCGCCATTTTTTGATGACTTTGTGCTCCTATATCAGGGATGGCGAACCGCTGACCCGCGGGTCATAAAGTGACCCACCGCGTTTTATTCGAGACCCGCCAGAACACGAATGAAACACACAAAATAATGCTAACATATCAGTGATAAAAATTGATAAAACCGACCTTAAATTAATCTAACGATAACTAAACTATTATTATGTACCGTCAGTTAGGCAGCCAGGGCTGCGATCGCTCATATTCAATTTTTAATTTTTGGACCGGTATGGTTATTTTCAAAACTCCTAATCTTGGACGCATGTCTGCACCGCTGTACATCGTTATTAATTATCGATCTCGATCGGTAAGTATGTTGATAGTTATTGGATCTCCGCTCTATAGGAGACCCTTATTATCAGTCGTTCTGTCTGTCTGTCTGTCTGTCTGTGTATCTGTCTATCTGTCTGTCTGTCTGTTTAGATGTAGCGTCTTAATGGCTTGACCAATCTGGATGAAATTTTTCACATGGGTTATCCTGTCACCCTAGTAATGTGCGTTTTATAGAAAGTCCAGATAAATGTTTCGTTTCCATGGTAACAACGAAACACGCTCCGATCGTTATGAAATTTCTATTTTTTTCACAGTTTATCGCCGTTTTCTCGCCAACCAAGTCGAAAATTAAAATTCCAAGAGCGCTTTCTCCGCATGGCAAAGTACTCTTTCCAATAAGTCGTCTTTGGTCTCGATACTTCATAAACTGGAGAAGCCTTAGGGATTTCAGTAAACATAATTTCCCCATTTAGTCACAGTATATCAGTCACGTGAGTATGTCAACGGAACGCGCAGCGTTTGAAATGAACTCAACGGAACTGGTGAGCCGGTGCAGGTGTTCTTGATATACGGAATTATTATTTGCTTGAGATTTGATGTACTTCTTGCTGTTAGTGGGTGGTTCACCTAAACGCTGGCTACAGTTTCTTTAACTATTTAAGTCTATAAATTAGGATTGCTATATCCGAATCAAACTGGTAAGCAGACATCGTTGTATAAATATGATAAATAAATAATCCTATTAAACCGTGAGGTACCGGGAAAAATGTTGAGTCTTGCATGTATATATGTTCCTTCAGCTTAAGTTGTAATCATAATGCCTAGGCGAAAGAAAACTATTAAGCGATTATTGGAAGCACAAACAAGCCAAAACTTGGACGAGTGTTGCAGCAGCAGTCAGATTGAAGATGACCCGCATAGCGTACAGTCTACTAGCCATTCCATTGTACCGAAAACCATTCTTGTGAGGAAGTATTCAAAGGTACGACGGGGAGGTGTTTCGCAGCGACTAGCCAGACACTTCCAATCTCCCGATGAATACGAGAACAGAAAAGTTGCTGATAAAATCAGAAATCAATGTAGGAGAGCATTGGAATCCCCCGAAACACGCGAAAGCAGACGGTCAACTGATAAAATGAAAACTAAATCTGCAAGAGCGTTGGAAACTCCGGAGAAACGCGAATGCAGACGGTCAGCTGATAAAATGAAAACTAAATCTGCAAGAGCGTTGGAAACTCCGCAGAAACGCGAATGCAGACGGTCAGCTGATAAAATGAAATCTCAATCTGCAAGAGCTTTAGAAACTCCAGGGAAACGTGAAAGCAGACGGTTAGCTGATAAAATAAAAACTCAATCTGCAAGAGCGCTGGAAACACGGAGAAACGTGAAAACCGATTGTTGTCTGATAGAATTAGAGCTCAAACTAAAATAGCGTTGGAAAGTCCAGAAAAACGTGGGAGCAGGCAGTTGTCCAATAAAATGAAAACTCAATTTGCAAGAGCCTCAGAAATACCGGAGACGCGTGAAAGCAGATTGTTGGGTGATAAAATCAGAACTCAATCTGAAAGAGCGTCAGAAACTCCGGAGAAACGTGACAGCAGATTGTTGGCTGATAAAGTTAGAACACAATCTGAAAGAGCGTCCGAAACTCTGGAGAAACGTGACAGCAGATTGTTGGCTGATAAAATTAGAACACAATCTGAAAGAGCGTCCGAAACTCTGGAGAAACGTGACAGCAGATTGTTGGCTGATAAAATTAGAACTCAATCTGAAAGAGCGTCTGAAACTCTGGAGAAACGTGACAGCAGATTGTTGGCTGATAAAATTAGAACTCAATCTGAAAAAGCGTCGGAAACTCCGGAGAAACTGGAAAAGAGATTGATGTCTGACAGATGTAGAACCCGTGACAAGAGACTTTCCGAGAGTCCAAAAAGTAGACGACGTCGGCTTTTTCATGATTGCTTTGCAAAAGCAAAGAAATTGAGTGCAGGAAGTCATTTAGACCGTGTCCGAAGAGACATCAGCAAAAGTGCACACATTGTTTACAAATGTGTCAGCGATTGTCGATATCACTGCCGTGGAAATGTGTCCAAGGTTAATCTTGCATGCACAAAGGTTGAAAAGCAGCTTAGGAGAAAATACTTTGCTGAGAGAAAAGTGCATGCTCACAGATGACTACAAATCGTATGATGGTCATTGGTATATTTGCCACCAATGCCGCAAGACTATTTATGCTGGCCTCATCCCATCATGCAATGAAAAACATTATCAATTTCAAATCGGTCATTTACCACCGCAACTTATAACTCAAGATATGAGGTTGAAACGATGTGAAGCGCACCTATTGAATCTGGTCGTTCCCTTTATAAGAGTTGCCCATATTCCCAGATCCAGGGAATTTCGGGTGATCGGATCTATGATATGTGTTGAAGCTGAAATTCAATCAAGTATCGAAACAATATTACCAGTCGATCAAAATCTGATTCCCATTGCTCTGAAAAGGCGCCCTGAGTATCGCGGCAATTTTATTGAAGAAGTGGTATCTAAACAAAACATTTTAGCATACTTTAATTTCCTCAAACAAAACAACCCACTATTTAGAGATGTCCACTTTGATATAACAAAGTTGGACCAATTTCTGTCATGTACAATAGATTGCATTGAAGATCAAGACGAATGGAAAACATCTCAATCTTGTGCTGTTGCCAATGCCGACACTGAACTTAATATTGCAATGGAAAATATCATCGATTACAGTGATGGAAATAATGTAATCGATTGTGGCAAAATACTTGGCGAAAGTGACAATACAACCGTCATTTCTGAAAATAATGACAATGACGAGGACTATGATACTCCGGAATATCTCACAGAATTTATTGCTGATACAGTTATCGACCCTCTTACTAAGACCGAAAGCACATGTCATGTTACAGATACTCTTGCATCAGCCATCATTTTCAAGGAACAAACCAGTATCCCAAACAATTCAAATTCCCATAGGAATAGAATGCCATTTGTTACGGTTGCCCCTACCGCTGGTAGCAAATTTACAAGATGGGAAGAATGTGAATATCTCGAAGAGAAATGCTTCCCACATTTGTTTCCAAATGGTACTGGGGTTATTTGTCTACGTATCTGGAAAAAGGTGTGAGATTTGCGAACTATGTAAAACAACGGATTCTGGGTAATGATTGCAGATATAGACGTGACTCTACCTATATGTTCTTTTTATTCAATGTTAAGGAACAAATAGAGATCAAGAGATCGTGTGCAACTTTCTTCCGCAAATCCAAAATTGGTAAAAGCAGATATACAGCTCAATTCTTTAAAAATGTTGATAAGCAAGAAATTGAGCGAACAGATCTAGGATATAAAGTGTTTAAAAATGTACGGGGAACCGCGCCATATTTTCAAAGCGCAAAATTGAAAATCATGACAATGATTCGCCAGTTGGGATCACCAAATTTGTTTTTGACACTGAGCAGTGCGGAGTCATATTGGAATGATTTCATCAAGATGCTTCTGGAAAAGGAACGGAATCAAATTGTATCAGATGAAATTGTAAGAAGTTTGGATACATGCGAAATTAATAAGATACTTACTCGCAACGTTACACAACATTTCAGTAATAGAATGAAAGTTATTTTTAGACACTTGCAAAAACCAGGTCTGTTGGGCAAATACAAAGTTTCTGACTATTTCTTCCGAATCGAATTTCAGATGCGAGGTGCACCACATGTCCATTCTTTATTGTGGCTGCAGGATGAAAATGGCAAAATTCCCCCTCGTTATGATTCAGAAGAGTCTCGATCTGCTTGTGAAGCATTTATCGATTTTGTGATAGCTGGAAAACTCCCTCAGGGTAACTCTGATATTCTGGACACAGTGTCTACTTTTCAAAGACATAGCCACACTTTTACATGTCGCAAGAAGAGTCGTAAAATTACTATTCATTCCGATGAAGGCCATGGTGTTAATGATTGTACAATAGAAAGACAAAGAATGCATTTAAACACGTGCAGATTCAAATTTCCCCACTTTCCAATGCCTAGAACAATGATCCTTGATGCACCAAATGAAAATGTTGACCCAGAAGATCGCAAAATATGGAAGAGCGCTTATGTCATGCTTAGAAAATTTATTTTACGTCAAACTCATTCTGATCGAGACACTCAATGTAATCAAGAGTTTTTGACCCTAACGTTTAATGATTTCCTTCATGCAGTGGGCCTAACGGAAGAAGCATATTATAATGCGCTTCGGGCATCTCTTGCTGAGAATAAGTGTGGATCGCAGGTGTTCTTAAAGCGTGACTGTTGTGATTTGTGGACCAACAATTACAACAAGAACATTCTGGAAGTACACCAAGCTAATATGGATATATCATTTGTCCTGAATGAGTTTGCATGCGTTGCGTATGTGTTGGGGTACATTACAAAGAATGAATCAGGATTAAGCAGGCTGTTGCATCAAATAGAAGTGGAATCTGCAAAGTTTGGTCGAACACCCGGCGAAAAGCTGAAATTGTTTAGTCGGGCACTTGAAAATAGCCGTGAAGTCTCTCGAAGTGAGGTTGTTTACAGAATGCTTGGCCTCCATTTTGTGTGTAGCACCAGGACACACGAATTCGTTCAAACATCTCATCCTTCGGCGCGTGATGGAATCATGAAAGGTAATATTGCAGATTTGGATGATGATGAAAATCCATTTCAGAATAGCAAGACTGACTACTATGTGGATAGACCAGACGATCTTGAAGATCTGTGTTTGGCTGAGTGGATACGCGATTACAAGATTATTTACAAGTCAAAATCTGAAAAAGCAGCATATCAACTAATTGATGCTGATCATGAAGAAAATTATGAAGAGACAGACACAGCCCGTTGCAGTCGAATTCGATGGTTGAAAAATCAGAAGGGTGATTCAGAAAAAATACTAAACATTCAATGGTGAGTTATTATTTGAACAAGCACAACGATACGGAAGTTAAGCGTTCTCTTCTTGTATTGTTCCATCCGTTCAGGGATGAGATGAAAGAAATTCATGAGGTAAGCGGGAGAACTATTGATGAGGTTTTTGACATGTTTAAAGAACAAGTTGAAAAGATGAGAAAAGAATTCGAACCTCACAGAAAAATGCTTGTAAACATTGACCAAGCTATGGAAGACATTGAAACTCATCAGAATGGTGATCCAGATGACATGCTTTATGAGGACCAAGAAATAGAGGACGCATCCACTGAAATTGAGGAAGAGTTGCAACACTTCGTAAACCTTGCTAATAGTCCTGCAGTACGAGAAGAAACCATATTTGCAAAGCGTATTGTTGTATGCGAAATGATCCGAAAACTCAATAAAAGTCAAAGGCTTATATTCGATGATGTTATGGAAAGAATAGATAGTCAGTATTATCCTATTGAGGACGCAATCCCATTTCATTTATACATCGGTGGAAAAGCAGGCACGGGAAAATCTTTTCTAATGAAGAGCATGATTGAGGCATCACGTTTGCTATTGATGAGATCTGGAGATAATGTAACCAAACCGACAGTTTTAGTTCTCTCCCCTACTGCTGCTGCTGCACGAATTATAGGTGGCGAAACCATTGAAAGTGGTTTGAAATTTTCTCGTAATGATGACTCTGAGGCCTTTCAAGTTTTCTCCAGCAATGCAACTTCTGCTTATGAGTATGAAAATGTCAAAGTTGTATTCATTGATGAGATATCTATGGTCGGGAGCAATAAGCTACATCAGATTCATACCCGATTGGAACAAATACTCGGACGCAAAGGTATGCCATTTGCTGGTTTACCATTGATAGTTACAGGTGATTTCTCACAACTACCACCGGTTAAAGACACGTGGATTTTTGCAAACAATAGACGCCCCCAGAGAACTGACTTCACTGCTCCCAATAAATGGAAACTTCACTTCAAGCTATATGAGCTAACAGAAAAAATGAGATCAATCGATGATGTCGAGTTTTCCCACCTTTGCGATAATGTAGCCATGGATACTTTGAATGCTAGTGATGAAAGCATGCTGTTCGGTCGGATAAAAGAATGTCCAAATGAGAATAATAATGACCATTATCGAGAAGGAAAACTAGCCATCATTGTCACAGATAATAAAAATGCAAAAAGAGAAAAAAATAAATTCCAGATTGCTGGAGGCTTTAGATGGTGACATAATATCTTTTTATGCAAAAGATGTTGCAACAAATGTGAAAGATTTTTCCCTGGAGACGGTAGCAAAACTGAACTACACGTCCACTGGGGGGTTGCCCCATTCATTGCATGTAAAAATTGGGTGTCCCATTGCACTAACCGTAAATATCAACAAAAGTGATGGATTGACGATAGTACACGGGGTTATATCACCGACATAGAACAGACTAAAGGTATCATATGGGTCAAGTTTGCAGACAGTATCGGAAGAAAAACTGCTGCAATGAATAGATCGAAATATGGAGCAGGTCCAGATGGAAGCGTGCCTATATTACGTACGAAAACTACATTCAAGCTCGGTATACGAGAAGGTGGAGTTCGTATACAGCGCTCACAATTCCCTGTTGTTGTCGCCTATGCCATAACTGCTCACAAGGCACAGGGACTGACTCTAGAGGAGGTAATCATTGACTTTCAATCATTAAGCAATAGAAAGTCTGCACCATCCGGCTGCTTCTACGTTGCAATCACACGAGTCAAAAGGTTATCGAATGTGTACCTCAAATCCTTTAACCGGTCAATGATATCGAGCAGCACGGTCGTTCGGGACGAACTCGTTCGGCTGCGAAAAAATGCACCCTACACATTCTATAAACAACCATTATGCATGTATGAGAATCGACTTAAAATTATTTATTTGAACATAAATGGTTTTAAGCATGCTGATTACTTGACTGACCTTAATAACGACCTCAATTTAAAAAAAGGCTGATATAATCTGCTTGGCTGAAACCAAACTTTGCAAAGATGACGAAGATCCAGTCGTTAGCGGCTTTTCAATTTGGCATCGCCTAGATCACGAGGCGAATACCATGGGAATGGCAATTTATATTCGAAATGATACTACATACCTTCCCTCCTTAGAATGCTCTTCTACATGTTCCCAACGCAAGACACAGCGAATACAAGTCGATGTTGGCGAGCATTCGATTTGCTTTACATACTTGCATCCTTATTTTGCTTCTGCAGAATTTTCACTATTATATCAGATAATCAGAAGTAACCATATCATAATAGGTGATTTGAACGTGGATTTCTATACCCAAACTGGTCATAAGAAGTTATCGGATTCTTCCACCGGAAGAATATTACCAAACTATGGTTCCACCCATTCAGCAAGCATGATCGATCATATACTCATTCCGAATTGGTATGATTTCGACAATTTACGTGTCACAAGTTTCCGCAATTTCTATTCAGATCATCGTGCAATCGCCATTATTATTTGTTGTTGAATCATGGTTAGGTAGGTAAATAGCAATACTTTGGAAACGTGAATCCATTATATTCATCCGTAGGCCTACAAGACTTGACCCCACACGAAAATTATTATTTTTTCATTTCAGCAAGACTGAATTACTTCGCACTATTCTATAGGCCTATAACCTCCAAGCTTTTTTTGAAGAACACACATATATATAAGTACAGAAAAAGCACAAGAGCATGTATTGCATACTTTTAAAACTCGTATAGAAGTTAACCTACATCGCGCTGTCAAGAACATCGCACACAAACCAAGTATATATGCATGTACTACCTTTTATGCCATACTTTATGCAATGAAAGAAAAATGTCTTTATGTAATGAAAGAAATGTTCACTTAGGTTGTGTAGCCCCAATCATATCCGACTTGGGAAACGAAAATAAACTATGTCCACTAAACAAAAGCCAACCGATTTAATTGCTGTTCTCTATGCATGTCGCATCATCGACATCCGATTCGGAGCAGAGCTCAAACTCCGAATAACACCCTGGCTTTTCATCGATTCCACATGTACCTGCTTTCCGTGACGAGTCTTGCAACTCAGTCATTATGTCCTGGCTACCCTGAGTTTCAGAAAACTCTGATTGTGATGAAAAAGCTTCACCCATTTCACCCTTTTTAGTGGGACTTTTGAGGTTATAGTTCTGTCCATCACTGTTATTTTAGCGTTCCGTGCTTTTATTACACGCTCCTGTCGTTTGTAACTGCTTTCCATTCTTTCAATCAAAGCTGCAATACGAGCTGCAGACGCTGATACTTGTTGTGTTGCTAAAATAGCGTACTGACTGTCGTACCCTTTTTTACGAAGGTGGTCGGCAAGTGCTTCTACGGAATCTTTTATGAATTCTGCATCACGTTTACAATCTTTGAAATACGCCGTCATTGCCCCGCAACAAATAATCGTCAGCTAGTGCAAAACCTACTCGCCTATTTCTTGCGAGGAAATTTTCATGAATTCACTTCCAAGCGCACAAATTAAAGAGATTTAAATCTGAACGAAGTTAGGCCGACCACTAAAGTGCTACAGAGACTAAAATGAATTGGATCCTCGCGATATACTGTATGCCGCGGGCCTGGGTGTCAGCGGAGATCCTGGACGCCTACCGGCTTGTTTGTCTGTCTGTTAGACACTTTCGTATGTTACGCGATATCTCACGAAAGCGAGGTTGAATCTGCTACAAATTTTGCATGTGCATTGATAATATCTCGGACCGGAGGCGCAGTGTTTGAATGAATTATGTCGTATAATTAGCGAGTTATTGATTAATTAATGATGGGAGACGCGTTGTCGCTATTGAATCAGAGCAAAGTAATCAAAACTGCAGTTTGTGTTTTGGGGGATTACTTTCGTCGCTCTTATTTTTTTTATTTTTGCGAAGATCGATAAGTCGGCCGTCTCCGATCATTATCTCGTTCAGCTATTGGCTCTGACATCGTTTATGACATAACAATGTAATTGATCTGTTCATTTCTCGCATCGTCTTGTCTCTTTTGGAAGTGCATCTGCAGAGAGCAGACTGTTTTAGGGGTTATACGAGAACTACTTGCTACTTTGCGTTTTATCACTTTCTCACCCCCGTATTGCCCGGTAGCAACTCTGAATGGTAGCGGGCCCTGAATATTAGCGGGGATCTAAACCAGTGGTTCCTAACTTTTCTACCCTCGCAGACCTGTAAAATTAAATTGAATGTTTTCGCGGACCAGCAAAAAATTGAAATGATCTTAACAGAAAAGAATAACATATATTTGCGTAATATCGTCAGGCTAATAACCGAATTGCGTAAGTCATTTTTGGCGATTTTGAGTTTTTTTTCTTATAAAATAGGTATTTATGTAATGCTGCGCACCTGTCTGTTAACTCGATTTTATTTTAAGAATTCCGAAACCCATAAAATAGTCCGGCAGATAAGGGGACCTTTTTGGCCCAAGTTTGATTTCAGACATAAAGTTTTTTTTTTATCTGTGATTATTCATCTTGGGGTCATTGCCCATCATTTCTACATGGGTGTGGAGTTTGCAGCCTTGAGCAATTTTTTTTACGGCTCGATATTTGTAACAGTGTTTTTCGTCAAACCTGTGCATCATAATGACGCACAACCTGAACCATAACCTGTTGCAATACTATGTTCAGGTTGTGCGCAATCTTGGTGCACAAACTACGCAAGCACCAAATTTACTAGGAAATAAAATCAATAACTTTTAGGTATTTGTTGAGCCCAGCTTTGGGTCGCGACCCATATACAGTATATGAAAATACTGTCGAAACATACGCGTAAAATAAGGAGTACTATTTCAAAATACTCGTTTTTGTTGTAATTAACAATACAAGCCTGGTAATGCAGTCGCCAGTGGTTCAAGTGGATATACACCCGGTGGAGAACAGTCAATTATTTGTTAGCGAGAATTGTTATGCAGCGGGATGATCACGACGACGCAGTGAAAGATAATGATATCACAAGAACAAGAATGAGAAAATTGCTACATTTTATAGTATATCCCTGGGAAAAAATGTAGTTCATTCTTATGTTCCATGCCAATGCTTTTCAAACTACCAAAGACTCTCAACACTTTTACTTCTTCTCTTCTATAAAAAAACATTATGTTATTATGTATATGTTATTATATATTCGCATTTCCATCTGTTTGTTCGTGCTCCCAGATAACCGATCAGCGGCCTCCAAGGAGGACGGGGTCCCCTATTAAGAAACCCTGTCATAAGCTAAAAAAGGCGACCATGCTTCTCTTGCCTGTTGTCATGCTGTCCCTGGAATTCAGCTACAACAAAAATTTCATGAAAACGGATTTTTAAATTTTATGACTTTATTAATATTCTCAACAATGAATGATATACGGGTGGTAAAATGCCAAGTTATTCCAACAACATGATCATGTTTTTGCAATTTACAACCAATATATTTTGTATGTAACTTTGTTTAAAGGCCCCAAGAGCCCTAACTACAAATATCAAAAATGTGAGGCCAAAAAAGTCACACTACAACATTGTCAAATGTGCTGGATTTACGATAGATAACAGGTTTACCAAAAAGAATTAAAAAATGAAAAATGGTAAATTAAAGATCAATTCAGCAATATCTACTTGGTGATATTGCATCTGTTGATGATTTTATGTGTTTGTTTCGGAAGTTTAATAACAGAATTAATTGTGGTTGTTGGGGATGTTTTAAAAAAAGGTTGCATGGAAAAAAGGTTTCACAAAATGTCAAGGTTTGATAGTAGTAGAGAAGTAGAAAAATACTCCCATGTTTTTTTTTCTCATTTGATAACCACGCCACAGAACTTCCCCGATAAGTATACGCAGCAATTGCGAGAAGCAGAAATGCCAAGATGGGATTTCATCGCATTGCAAACCAATATTAGCAATTTTATATATATTCGCGCAATACCATCTGAACAGCGTGGAAAAAATTATACCCATCTACACACTTTAAGAACTATGTCAGATGAGCGTCATATTATCGAATATCAGTAAAGGAATAATGCAATGGGAAAAGACATATGAGGCGGAACTTTCAGTAGTATGCAATCAAATAATCTTATTGTAGAATATAACTTTAAAAACATTTCGTCACGCCAACTGCAGTCCGAAACTTTTTTTCTCAGGCTGAGCGCAGATACCAATTGGCACTTATGTAAACTGGTAAGACTGTAAGAGGCACGCGATGGATCAGATACTA